GAAGACAGTGACGATCAGTCTTCCCAGGCAGGTTTTTACAATCAAGCCTACACAAGTAACTCAGAACAGAGAAATGGATGGGATGAGAGTCTGTTTTACTAACTGAGCAGCATGTTAAATGAATGTGAAAGGACTGGTGAAGAGGTATCTCAGCTTTGAGAGAAGTAATATGAATATTCTACTGACAGCTGTATTCCTCTGTGTAATGTGACAAGGGAAAATTGTTCCTTGTGAGCAGCAAACTGTACTTGGCCCACATTTGCTATCTACGACAGGCAGAGCACATAACTTTGGCAGCTTTGCACAAAGTACCTTGGTTCTAATCTTGGAAGAACCATAGATATTTAAGGCCAGAAAAGAGGGGGAACCTAATGGTCATTTCTATTTCTAGGGCATGCTCCCACAAAACGGGTATCAGCAAGAGAGGCACTGGCAGCTAACAAAATGCAGCACCGCCCTTTTTTTTCAAGCATGTGGCATTGTGCTGCAGAATCCAGGGGAAAGGAAACTATGAATCATCCTGGTCAGCACTATGAAGCTGGTATGGCTGGCCACTCAGTTGAACTCAATTTCAGGACTTGCTTAGTAAACACTTGGAAAGCAGCTGTAGATCACCTTTCAAATAAAGTTACATACTTAAAAATATATATAAGATTTCCGGTGGTAAATGGTGACCCACAGGTGGTTACTTTTAGCCGCAATCAATTGCTGGAAAAAGCAGCAGTTCACAGTGAGCCACAGCCAGGAAATCGGAGCATTCCGAATACAATGAAGTTAAAGACTTAGATCACAGACGCCAAGCTTTGTGTATCATTCCTTCCCCTTAATACCGTCCCATTGAGATTTTGAAGGGACTATTTTCAACTTGTTGTCCTATGCAATTATTTGGGGGGACAAGATGTGATTAAACACACTATACCATTTCCGTGCTCTGCTAGGGTGCCCTGTGTCCTCAAACAGTGTTCCCAAATCATTTGGCTAGAGTGTCAACTCTTGGAAGACTATCCTAAGCCACACTCTTAGTTCACCTCTCTTGGACCAGTTACAGCTTACGTCTCAGCCACCCCCACATTTACTCTGGAGTGGACAGTGGTATCCTCTGTGTCTGAGCTCATTGATTTCAGTGGCTTAGGCATGCTAGATCTGTCAAGACTTTGAGAAACCTACCCAGTATTCCCTTCCCTGCAGGAAGCACATTATGGTAGGACTTCTCACCTTGCATCTTTCAAAAAATATTTAAATCATAATATCTGGTATTCAGCATTAGACTCCTTAGTGCAAGGCACCTGTAAACATGACAACATGATCCTGAATTGTATCCACACGGGTAATCAGAATTTATGCAATACCCAGCATAGAGTGTTACCTCTATTTCACTCTCTTCTCACGGCTGTCTTCTTGGTTTCAAATTTTAGACTGCAAGGCAAGGACATGTCTTCTTATTCTCTGTAAAGTACCATATATATTGATGGTGCTATACAAAGAAATAAACAAACTGAGGGAAAATGTAATATATGCAACAGCCTTTAAGTTGAGTTCAAACTGTGTCACGGTACATATGATGTACATGTGTAGTGCCAGCTTCAGGCACACATATCACCACATGTCCTTTGGGTATTCAATAACATCCTTTATTTATTGACCTCCCTTATACTCCAATTTTTCCCCACTGGGGATCCAAAGTAGCTTATAGTATTCTCCTTCCTTCCATCTTATCCTCACAACAAACGGTGAGGTATTTCTTTAAAACATTTTAATGCCACCTTTTCACCCAATCAAGGTTCACAAGGCTGAGAACATTTTAAAAAATTAAAACATTCACGCGATTAAAACATACAAACAAACAACACTAGAAGGAGGTCTAGTAACTATTATTGGGTGTATGCCAAACCACCTGCTGGCAAAAGACACTGATAGAGGGAGACAGGTGAATCTCAGTGGAGAGGAAGTTCTGACGTTTTGGTGCCATGATCGAGAAGGCCCTTTCTTGGATAGCCACCTGTCTAGCTTCAGATAGAGGGGGCAACCGAAGCAGGGCCTCTGAGAATGATCAGACTGTATGGGCAGGCTCGTACAGAACAAGGTAGGTTAGACTGAGTGTGTGCATCTCGCTCCAGGACACCCAGCAAGCTTCCATGGCTGAGTGTGGAATCCAGCCTTGGGTCTCCTAGATCCTAGTCTGACACTTTAACCCAGAGGTGTCAAACTCTGACATAAATGTTATTTTATCAGGCCGAGCCACGTGTGTCATAAAACGTAATGCTAAGTACAAGAGATATAAACTGTATAAAAGATAGCAGCTGGTAAGCTCCAAGTTGCTGTATTCTCATAGCGAGGCCCCATGGGCTGGGAGGAGGGGGTGCAAAGGTAAAGCCATATGGGCGGACTGGAGAGCCAGCAGTGCAGCACTGGGTAGACACTCCCATGCTGCTTGACTGCTGCAGACGAGGTTGTTCCGCCATGTTGAAGTCACTATCGGAGTGGCACCGTCCACTCCTCCTGAACAGTCTCCTGCTCCCTCCTTTGCACTAGTTGCTTGCAAGCCCCATAAGAACCCTGGATGGGCTGGTTCCGTTCCTCGGGCCTTATGTTTGACACCCCTGCTCTAACCAGTACACCTCAGTGGTAAGAGTACACACATGATATGTAGAGGTTTCTAGATTCAGTCCCATATGTCTACAGTTAAAGAGATCTACCTACTCAAGTTTGTATCCCCCTTCTTCCAAAGACGTCAAAGTGACAAACACAGTTCTTTGCTCCTCTCCTTGGTATTGTACCACACCAAAACCCCTACAAAATTAATTCAAATGTATGACTGGCTCAAGGCAGCCCAGGGAGCCTTATGACTGAGCACGAATTTGAACTGGCACCTCCCCGCTCCTAGCCTGACACTCTAACCACCACACTGGTTCCCATATAGCAAGCGAAGACCCAGGAAAGATACTGGAAAACCACTGCTCATCTTAGTAGACTCTAGGGGTCATTGGTATCCACTGCCTGATACAGCAGAAAGCACAATAACCTAATCCTCAATAAACACTACAACCAGGAAATGGTGCATTAATCAACACTATGACTAAATATACAAGTTTGGGGGGGGGGTATTGAGTTACATGAGCCACCTTGAACCACCTTTTTGAGGAGAAAGGTGGTTTAGAAATATTTGAATAAAATGAATACCTCCAAGCCAGTCCATCTGACATCACATAATTCCTCCTCACTCTTAATGCCACCTCAAAACCATCTTCATCCACTTTGGACAACAAAACTTCTTGTAATGGCTTTCCTTATGCCATACTGAAAACAGGGCTGCCACAGTTTCCCAGACAAGGCTCATGTGCCTTTAACAGCTGTATGCGTAGAACTCAAACTGGAACCTGACAGATAACATTTTTCTTGGCAATCAATGAGGGCCAAAACCTGCGACTGCTAAACTATCACCATATGGCTGTTAAAGATCTAGGCCATAAACTAGGAGGAAAGGGGTCTTTTGGACAAAGTTGTCATCATATTTTGCAGTGGGGGATCTCCCCTACTTTAAACGTGCTGAGACATATGAACTCAGCATGTAAAGCACTCCAAAGGTTTTGCATCTCCAGAAAGAGACACCTGTTGAGTATCTACTTAGCATGCACCTGTCAAAAGCACAGGAGCCCTGCCATGAAAGAAAAACCGGTAGCAACCCTCCCTAGACAAGGTCCAGCCTGTCTCCCAAAGGTAACTCCCTGCAACCCTGTACGTTTGTATAATTGAAAACTTTTGTTTTTCTACTGGCCCTACTCCTGGTTCTTTACCATTAACCCACCATGCAGAAACCTTACAGTTCAAGGTTTTCCTGGTATGGATGAGAATTGATATTAAAAAGCTGACCTCAACTTAATTTCCAGAGAAGTGGCTGTTGCAGGGCAAGGTTGCCATAAGTAAGAAGCAGCTTGGCAGGGCCCTTTAAGCAAACCAACCTGTTTATTGTGACGAAGCAGACTCTTACCTACAGGAAAGATTTGTCATCCTTTTACAAAGGCGCGCAACAACTTTGCCACTTTTGCCAAAAGTCTCTGTACAATGCACAAGTCCTCCTATTCCGAAAGCACCCGAAGAACCAAGCATTGTAAGATGACTGTTCTTAACTTCAGTCCCTGCTCACAGGCCTGTTCAAATCACAGGAGCAGGGCCAGTGCAAAGCTGGCAACCACAATACGATTCGACAGTTGGAGCATCTTAAGAAGATGAGCAAGTCACACACCACCTCTTCTGGTTCATCTCTGTGGGCTGATGTTCAAAACGCAGGAGCAAGGGAAAGAAACCGGCAGCCACAATGAGATTTGTCAGATTAAAAGGGGTAATAATTCACACTGCTGCCGAGTGTGCATGTGTTCCGAGTACAGGAGCTGGGCCAACAATAAACGAAAGACAAGCCACAACAAAAGAGTCCGACACAAACCTTACGGGTGCCACAACAACGGAACCCCTGCTGCTCAGTTTCAATGTCTGGCTGGCCTAGCAGCCAAGACACCAACCAGGGACGGAAACTGACAAGCACAAGGAGATCCTTTGGCTTCTGAAGCACCCCCAACCGACACATGTGGGCTGCAGAGCTTGGGAGAGTCTGTCAACACAGGCTCCAGAGCAGTGACAGAACCGAGCCAACCGCCCTAAAGTTGCCCTGGTCTGGCTAGCCTACCCTAACAATAGTGTGCGGCGAGAATCTGTGCAAGCCCCGGGGCAGAGGGACAGCCAAAGGAGGAAGAGGTGTCCGCCTGTCTTGAGCAGCACGAAGGACTGTGGGTGTGGGGTCAGGCTCAATGCCCGCGTGTCGCTTGCACACGAGCAGGGGCCAGCCGGAAAAGCGGACAGCGCGGCACAGGCCTCTCTGACACCCAGCTGGAGGCAGGCAGGCAGGCTCTTCTCTCACCCACCACCCGCCAGGGGAAATCCACCCTCTCGGGCTCCCCGGCAGACGGGCAACACCCACCCACCCCCTCCCTTCGCCCTTCTCTCACCAGCTTGGGCTTGTTCTTGCTCTCCTCCTCGGGGACGCGCCCGCTGCCGCCCCGCTTGGGATTCATCTTCCCCAGCTCTTCCTCGCCGCCACCGGCTCCCTGGTTCTCCATGCCGCCGCCTCTTCCTCTCAGGCCCCCATAGGCGCCGCGCAGCTTCAGGCGGAGGGCGGGCGGGTCACGCTGGCCCCGCCTCGCGAAGGGCGCCCGGCGGCAGGGACACCGGGAGAGTCAGCCGGGCGGCTCTCCGCTCCCCCCTTTTTTTTTGGTCGCCGCCTCTCCTGACAGGGACAGTCGGCGCGCGAGCCTGCCCTTCCTTCTGCGCTCTTCCTCCCCCCCTCCTCCTCCTCCTTCCGCGGTGGAGATGGGGAAAGGGGGGCACGGCGGAGCTCCTGCGCGTGCGCCGCCGAAAGGAAAGGGAGGGGGGACCTTTCGCACGCTGAAGCAGCAATAGCGTGATGCTGCCCTTACTCTAATGAGCTGAATTGAAAAGCCCGGAAGTGGCCGAAAGGGTCCATAGTTAGGGCCAGCTGCATGGGGTTTTTTTGGAAGGGTGAAAAGCCTGGCGGAAGGCAGTAGCCCGGATGCGTGGATCACTGAGAAGGGTCGGAAGGAAGAAGAAGAGGCAAAGGGGAAAGGGATAGTATCTGTCACGTGCGGCTCTGGAGACTCCGGGCTTTAATGTTGATTATTCCCCAGTGGTTGAAAGTGGACAGAAAGCATACATGTGTATGTGGACAGGAGACGTACAGATGCTTTAAATAAATATGCATATTATAACTTGCTGTTTTTATTTGTTGGTATGGGCTGCTGATCTGGGTTTTGCTTTTTTTTCCTTTTCTTTTTTTTTTTTTGCTTTTTTGAAGCGTGGCGCTGTGTCTGGCAATTGCCAGCTATCAGCCAAGAACCAAGCCAGATCCAATGGTCCAGTGTCACGCCCTTGTCAACCTGCCTCTCCTCTGTGAGACACCGAACCATTCAGCGTGCAAATCAGCATTTTGCTATCCTTCTGAAATCATTTTTAGTCACTTTGAGAGCATATTTGACAACAGAAAGTGGGGCACACATTCCCCAAAATAAGTAAAAGGGTTATTTTGGGGGGTACCACCAACTTTCTGCTGTACAGACTATTGATTAGAGTTGGCTGTGTATTTTAAAATTGTGTTATTTATTTTGAAATTGTATATCCCACACTCTTCTGGTAGCCTGTTCCTGATGCTTTTAACTTCAGGCTGAAATTCAATAGGCAAAACATTTCATCAGTGCCTTTCTCGGAAGTAGGGAGTTCTACCAGTTAAATTACTACCCATCACCAAAGGTTCTGCAAGAGAAAGAGAAAAGGTAACACCTCTAGGGGGCTAAGGAGTAACTAATCCACACTGTTTTTTCTTTATATAATTATTATATATTAATCTTTCTTTTCAGCCCAAACTGGTTCCCAAATTGGCTCATGATAATTTAAATAATATTTAGTGTAAACGTTCTTTGGGGAGGTAATTCTTAGCTGAGAGGGATCCAGGCAGGATGCACAACTGGCTGACCTGCTTTTTTCCTTCCCTGGATGCCCTCATGGATAGCACTATTGTATATAATTGTAACAGACTGCTCCTTTTGCATTACATGACGTTTTTGCCCCCTTTGCTTTCAGAGTTTTGATTTGCTATTTCAGCCCGTGTGTATTTGTCCAGTCCAAAGAAGAGTTATACCTCTCTACGTCCCCTAAAGCCAAAAAGTTTAGAAGGGTTAACCTTGCTTAGGACTGCACTGTGTGTGTATATATCCTTTTAATTTAGGATAACATTTTACACAGCTGGTCAAGTGGGTTTTCATTCAGGGAAGTTTTTGCTACAATAATAATTTCATCCTAAACAGAATTAGGCCCACCTAAGCCAATAGACTTCAGTGTTTTTAGTGGTGAAAAGTGCCGTCAAGTCACAGCTCACTTATGGTGACCCCATTGGGTTTTCAAGATAAGAGATGTTCAAAGGTGGCTTGCCATTGCTTGCCTCTGCAAGCAACGCTGGACTTTCTTGGTGGTTTCCCATCCAAGTACTACCCAGCACTAACCCTAATTAGCTTACAAGATTTAGAAAGGTGTACCTCTGCTTAGGACAACACTGCAAATCTGTTAATCTTTAAAGTATAGGCTTGCCAGTCTTCTTCAGGTGGGGGGGCAGAGGATTCCCCACTTTTGTGGGCTCCTGCCCACCACCGGCCAGCTGGCTGGCGGGGGAAACCCCACCCCCAAACAGACATCCCTATGTGATGTCAATGACATGATGACATCACTTCAGGAAGCACCATCATCACATTGGCAACGTTGGGGGCGATGCTCTAAAGTTTGGGCAAAACTTTATGGTTTGTAGCCAATTTTACCATAGAGTTTTGCCCAAAAAGTAGAGTGTCACCCTGACATTGCTAATGTGATTATGTCACTTCCAGAAGTTACATCAATGTGTCACCAATGTCACCGCCCACCCCCGGAACGCCCTCCCAAATCCCCCCACTGGCATGAGGTAGGCACCTGGCAACCCTATTAAAGCACCACATGACTTCTGGTTGTTTTGATGTACTTCTTGTAGGAACTTGAATCTGGCTTTTTTCAGCTCAGTTCAGTTAGTCGGACCACATTGATCTATAGGAGCATATATGCATTGTGCCCAGAAGTATGAGCTACATAGAATCCTAACTGTTCTTCAGTAATCAGAATATAATTCAAAATATATGTACTAACATTGCAAGTATTCACTAATTCCTGTCATTCCTTTCTAATCTATTTCCTCTGGTGGTGGAAAGTGCCACTAAGTCACAGTTGACTTGTGGCAACCCTGCAGGGTTGTCAAGGCAAGAGACGTTCAGAGGTGGTTTGCCATTGCCTGCCTCCATGTCACAACCCTGGTATTCCTTGGTGGTCTCCCATGCAAATACTAGCCAGGGCTGAAGAAGAAGAGAAGAAGAGATTGGATTTATACCCCGCCCTTCACTACCCGAAGGTGTCTCAGAGCGGCTCACAAACTTTTTTCCCTTCCCCTCCCCACAACAGACACCCCGTGAGGTAGGTGGGGCTGAGAGAGCTCTTGACAGAAACGGCTCTTTTTCAAGAACAGCTTTTATCAGAACTACGGCTTGCCCAAGGTCATCCAGCCAGGTGCAAGTGGAGGAGTGGGGAATCCAACCCGGTTCTCCCAGATTAGAGTCCGTACACTTAACCACTACACCAAACTGGCTCCCACACCAAACTGGCTGACCTTGCTTAGCCTCTGAGATCTGATGAGATCAGGCTAGCCTAGTTCTAGATAATGTGGTATCTGGTTGTGGTTCCTCGTGGATGAGGAAAAGGCATTCTGTACATACTTATTGTTTTTGTACATCTTACAAGGTGGGATGTAGCAGTGAAAATAGATTCCAGAGGGCAATGCCTTCATTAGCTGTGAAGCTCTCACAAACCATGCAGCTTCTGCTTCAAGAGAAAGAAAGACTTGTTATTGTTAGTGGGAAAAACAGTGATTCTCCAGAGATATTTACAGCCTAGAGGAGGGACAGTGTGTGCCAGATAATTGCTATGGGGACATTAGCAGCAAATTTTGAAAAGAAGTGATCCAGGTAACATCAAAAATGTTTGGATTAGTAGTAGCAGTAGTTTATTATTACAGTCTTTAGACCAGCATACAGTTTAGTGAGATGTTTGGATTAAATCAATGGAGTCTCCAGTTTTGGAAGCAACTCCCTGCATTGATTTCAATCAATTATATAAAGCAGGCTATATATATAATTAATATATATTATATATTCTACTTTATATAATTGATTGAAATCAATGCAGGGAGTTGCTTCCAAAACTGGAGACTCCATTGATTTAATCCAAACATCTCACTAAACTGTATGCTGGTCTAAAGACTGTAATAATAAACTACTGCTACTACTAATCCAAACATTTTTGATGTTACCTGGATCACTTCTTTTCAAAATTTGCTGCTAATGTCCCCATAGCAATTATCTGGCACACACTGTCCCTCCTCTAGGCTGTAAATATCTCTGGAGAATCACTGTTTTTCCCACTAACAATAACAAGTCTTTCTTTCTCTTGAAGCAGAAGCTGCATGGTTTGTGAGAGCTTCACAGCTAATGAAGGCATTGCCCTCTGGAATCTATTTTCACTGCTAGCCCCATCACTCCTTGGCAAACAGAAGGGGAAGTAGTGACAGACTTCACGTTCCTGGGATCCCAGATCACCGCAGACTGTGACAGCAGCCATGAAATTAAAAGACTCCTGCTCCTTGGGAGGAAAGCGATGGCGAACCTAAACAGCATGATAAAAAAGTAGAGACATCACCCTGCCAACAAACGTCCGCATGGTCAAAGCAATGGTATTCCCAGTAGTCATGTATGGCTGCGAGAGTTGGACTATAAGGAAGGCCGAGCACCGAAGAATAGATGCTTTTGAACTATGGTGCTGGAGAAGACTCTTGAGAGTCCCTTGGACTGCAAGATCAAATCAGTCAATCCTAAAAGAAATCAACCCTGACTCTTCCCTGGAAGGCCAGATAATGAAACTGAAGCTCAAATACTTTGGCCACCAAATAAGAAGGGAGCACTCACTGGAGAAGACCCTGATGCTGGGAAAGATTGAAGGTCAAAGAAGATGGGGACAGCAAAGGATGAGATGGTTAGACAGTGTCATAGATGCAACGAACATGAAGTTGAGCAAACTTCAGAGGACGGCGGAAGACCGGAAGGCCTGGCGGGAGCTGGTCCATGGGGTCGCGAAGAGTCGGACTCGACTGTGCGACTGAACAACAACAACAAATATTCATGTGTTGCCTAACAAGCATGAATATCAAATAGTTACTGAACAATTTAAATATAACCTACACTAAATCAAACACTTCTATAGAAAACAACAGCATAGTAAAAAAACAGCTGGTCATACAGGCTGCATTCTTTTGCACAGCTGAATTACCAGCCCCATGCGAAGACTGGTGGAGAGCCAATGCCAGCATCATACTCGTACATCTAATCAACATCCCCTTGCTGCTTCTCAGAAGGAAAACTAAGGGCAGAAACAACCCATGCCCAAACACACAGAATGAAGTTATCACACCAGGGACTAGAGCAACCCCATCAACATCCACCAATTGTGGAGTGATGGGCTGCCACCAACCACCATCACCCAAGTGGTATGCACAGCTGCTGTCAACTGGTGAGGGACCGTGGCTGTATGGTGTTATACACAGACGCACATACACA